AGACCTTGTGTTGGGCAAGATTTCTTAAGATATGACACCATAAGGATAGCCTACAAAAAAAAAAAGGATAAATTGGACACCATCAAAATTAAGAATTTCTATCTCGCAAAAGACACTCTTAAGAGAATGAAAATACGAGCTACAAAATGGGAGAAAATACTTAGTAAATTACATATTTGATAGAGGACTTGTTTCCAGAATATATAAAGAACTCTCAAAATGCAATAATAATATAGCCGAAAGACAAGCATACGAAAAGATATCTGACATCAATAATTAGAAAGGAAATGCAAATAAAAGCCACAGAGATGCCACTATACACCTATTCAACTGTCTACAATTAAAAACACTTACTATAGCAAGTATTAGCAAAAATGTGAAGAAAATGGAAACCTCATACATTGCTGGTGGGAATGTAAAATGGTACAACCACTGTGGAAAATAATTTTTTAAAAACTTAAAACACACACTTACCATATGAACCAGCCATCCACTTCCAGGTATTTACCCCAAGAGAAATGGAAGTATGTATCCATACAAAGACTTGTACACACATAGAAGCTTTATTTTTAATAGCCGAAAATTGGAACAAATCAAATGTTCATCAATGGTGAGCAGATAAATTGTGGCATATCTATATAATGGAATACTATTCAGCAATAAAAATGAATTATTGATATACATAACAGCATGGATGAATCAAAATAATTATGATGAATGAAAGAAGCCAGTTAGAAAAGAGTACTTACCACATGATTCCATTTATATAACATTCTAGAAAATGCAAACTAATTTTTAGTAACAGAAAGCAGATCTATGATTACTACCCAAAGCAATCTACAGATTTAATACAATCCCTATCAAAATTCCAATAGCATTTTTCACAGAACTAGAACAAACAATCATAAAATTTGTATGAACCACAAAAGACCCTGAATAACCAAAGCAATCTTGAAAAAGAAAAACAAAACTGGAGATATCACAATCCCACAATTCAAGTTATATTACACAGCTGTAGTAATCAAAACAGTATGGTACTGGCACAAAAATAGACACATAGATCAATGAACAGAATAGAAAGCCTGGAAGCAAACTTAAAATTATATGGTAATTAATCTTCGACAAAGGAAGCAAGAATATGCAATGAGAAAGACAGTCTCTTCAAAAAATGTTGTTGGGAAAACTGGACAACTGCGTGCAAGAGAATGAAACTGGACCACTTTCTTACACCATTTACAAAAGTAAACTCAAAACGGATTAAGGACCTAAATGTGAGACCTAAAACCATAAAAATCCTAGAAGAGAGCACACGCAGTAATTTCTCTGATATTGGCTTTAACAACATCTTTCTAAATATGTCTCCTGAGGCAAGGGGAACAAAAGCAAAAGTAAACTATTGGGACTAATCAAAATAAAAAGCTTCTGCATAGTAAAGGAAACAATCAACAAAACTAAAAGACAACCTGCTCAATGGGAGAAGATATTTGCAAGTGACATATTCAATAAAGGTTTAGTATCCAAAATATATAAAGAATTTATACAACTCAACACCAAAAAACCCCCCAAATAATCCAATTTAAAGTGGGCAGAAGACATGAACAGACATTTCTCCAAAGAGGACACACAGAGGCACCTGGGTGGTTCAGTCGATGAAACGTCCACCTTCAGCTCAGGTCATGATCTCAGGGTCCTGGAATCGAGCCCCACATAGTGCTCCCTGCTCAGTGGGGAGTCTGCTTCTCCCTCTCCCTCTGCCTCTCCCCCCGCTTGTGCTCTCTCCCAAATAAATAAATAAAATCTTTTTTTTTTTTTTTTAAAGAAGACCTACAGATGGGGCCAACAGACACAGGAAAAGATGTTCAACATCACCCATCATCAGGAAAATGCAAATCAAAACCACAATGAGATATCAACCTCACATCTGTCAGAATGGCTAAAATAAAAAACACAAACAACAAATTCTAGTGAGGATATGGAGAAATAGGAACCTTAGGCACTGTTGGTGGGAATGCAAACTGATGCAGCCACTGAGGAAGACAGTATGGAGTTCTATAACTCACAAAATTAAAAATAGAACTACTCTATAATCCAGTAATTGTACTTCTGGGTATTTAACCAAAGAATACAAAAACACTAATTCAAAGGGATACACGCACCTCTATGTTTATTGCAGCATTATTTATAATAGCCAAATTATGGAAGTAACCTAAGTGTCCATTGATAGATAAATGGATAAAGAAGAGATTCATATATATAAATTATGGAATATTATTCAGCCATAAAAAAGAATGAACTCTTGCCATCTGCAACAACATGGATGGAGCTAGAGAGTACAATGTAAGTGAAGTAAGTCAGTCAGAGAAAGTCAAATACCATATGATTTCACTCATATGTGAAATTTAAGAAACCAAAAATAATGAGCAAAGGGAAAAAAAGAGCAAGAAAGAGACAAATCGAGAAAGAGAGAGACAAATCAAGGAACAGACTCTTAATTCTAGGGAACAAACTGATGGATACCAGAGAGGACAGGGGGTGGGAGGATAGGTGAAATAGGTAAGTGCATCAAAATTTAAAAATTAAAAACTTCTGGTCTTCAGAGATAGAACAGAATGAAGACAAACCACAACCTGGGAGAAATTTGCTGAACACCTATCTGAGAGAAAGGACTTTTTCCAGAATATATAACATACTCTTAAAACTCAATATATGTATCCAATTAAAAAATGGATTTGGGGGTGCCAGGGTGGCTCAGTCTGTTGAGTGTCCGACTCTTGATTTTGGCTCAGGTTATGGTTTCAGGCTTGTGGGATTGAGCCCTGAGTCAGGCTCCATGCTTCGCGGGGAGTCTGCTTGAGATTCTCTCTCTCTATCTCCTTCAGCCTCTCTCCCCACCACACTCACTCACTCTCTCTCTCTTTGTCTAAGATAAATAAATAAATCTTCAAAAAAAGAAAAGGAAAAGAAAAAATGGATTTGAAGGACACATCATTTAAAAAGGTATCTGGTACATGGGGTGCCTGGGTGGCTCAGTGGTTAAAGCAGCTGCCTTTGACTCAGGTCATGATCCCAGGGTCCTGGGATTGAGCCCCGCATTGCGCTCCCTGGTCAGCGGGAAGCCTGCTTTCCCTCTCACACTCCCCTTGCTTGTGTTCCCTCTCTCGCTGTCTCTCTCTCTGTCAAATATATAAAGAAAAATCTTTAAAAAAAAAAAAAACTGGTTCTCCTGCAATTAGAAAAAAAAAAGGTATCTGTACATGAGTACACACTCAACATCACGAGCTATTAGAGAAATGCATATTAAAGCCACAATGAGATACAGCCTACATACATACCTATAAGAAAGTTTAAAAAAATTTTTTAACTGAAATATAAGGTGAAGATCTCATACACTGCTGGTTGGAATGCAAAAAGGTACATCCATTTTAAAAACAGGTAAGCAGTTTTTTTGTGTGTTTTTTGTTTGTTTGTTTCTTTTTTTTAGAGAGAGCACACATATGGGTGCATATGAGCCGGGGGTGGGGAGGTGCAGGGAGAGGAATAGGGAGAGAGAGGATCTTAAGCAGGGTCCACATTCAGCGTGGAGCCCAACTGGGAGCTTGATCTCACGACCCTGAGATCATGATCTAAGCCAATATCAAGAGTCAAACACTTAACCGACTGACCCACCCAGGTGCCCCCAGGTAAGCGGTTTCTTAAAAAGTTAAATATACACTTAGCCTATGATGTAGCAGTCCTACCATTAAGTATTTTACCTCCCCCAAAATGTAAACATATGCTCACACAAAGACCTGCATGTGACTGCTTTTAGCAGATTTATTCATAATAGACAAAAAACTAAGAATAGCTCAAATGTCCATTAACTGATGAATGCATAAACAGACTGGTGTATCCATACAACTGGAATACTACCCAGCAATAAAAAGGAATGAGTTGCAGATAGATGCAACAACCTTGATGAATCTCAAAAGGATTATGCTGAAATGTCCACAATAGCCAAACTGTGGAAAGAGCCAAGATGTCCATCGACAGATGAATGGATAAAGAAGATGTGGTCTATATATACAATGGAATATTATGCAGCCATCAAAAGGAATGAGATCTTGCCATTTGCAACGACGTGGATAGAACTGGAGGGTATTATGTTGAGTGAAATAAGTCAAAGAGAGAAAGACATGTATCATATGATCTCACTGATATGAGGAATTCTTAATCGCAGGAAACAAACTGAGTGTTGTTGGAGTGGGGGGTGGGGTGGGAGGGATGGGGTGACTGGGTGATAGACACTGGGGAGGGTATGTGCTCTGGTAAGCGCTGTGAATTGTGCAAGACTGTTGAATCTCAGATCTGTACCTCTGAAACAAATAATGCAATATATGTTAAGAAAAAAAAAAAAAGAAGAAGGTAGCAGGAGGGGAAGAATGAAGCGGGGGAAATCTGAGGGGTAGACGAACCATGAGAGACGATAGACTCTGAAAAACAAACTGAGGGTTCTAGAGGAGAGGGGGGTGGGAGGATGGGTTAGCCTGGTGGTGGGTATTGAGGAGGGCACATTCTGCATGGAGCACTGGGTGTTGTGCACAAACAATGAATCATGGAACACTTCATCTAAAACTAATGATGTAATGTATGGGGATTAACATAAGAATTAAAAAAAAAAGGAGTATGCTGAGTGAAAGGAGCCAATCACAAGAGACTACATACTGTATGATTTCATTTATAAGACGTGGTGGAAAAGGCAAAACTATAGGGACAAAAATGAGGCTGGTGGCTGCCAGGGGCTGATGGTGGGAAAAGGGGATTGACTGGAAACAAAAATGTTCTATATCTCAAATGTGGTGGTGGTTACGTAGCTATATGTTTGCCAAAACTCATCAAACTGTATACTTAAAAAGAGTAAATTTTATTAAATGAAAATTATACCTCAATAAATCTGACTTAAGAAAAGAATAAAACAAACATAAACAACTAAGTGAAAATAAACATAAGAAAAATCAACTTACAGTTTTTCCAATTCAAGGGTCATCATGAGGATGCTCTCAATTGTTGGAAGTGACACCTGTGTTGTTCCCATGTCTCTGAAGGAGAAAGTCCAAACATGAATGATACCAAAGACAAAAATTCTATACTTAAAAAGAGACTTAACGACATGCGATTAGTTAAATTCCGTCAAGCCAGCTCAAGAGTTAACTTGCTATGGACAATAATTTCAGAGAACTTTTATTGAAGAAATTTAAATTTATGTGCATCATCAAATTTATCACCTTGGTGATGAACAGTACAATCTCTTGTTACCATTATCCTACTTCTCATTCTCAATTGCATCCATCTCTCTTGATTAATCTTTTTTTTTTTAAATAATGTACATCTTATTCCACTTTGCTTTTTGAGACAAATGGTATTTCTACATACATAATAAATGATATTTCTGCATACATCTGTATGTTCCATATCTGTATGTGTTCTTCAATAGTGCTTTCTTCCTCTGCAGGCTGTCTTGCCCATATACATTGTTTCTTTGCCAATAATTCTTATTTCAATAACCCAGTTAAAATTTAAATTATGACTTTTTAACCAAAATGCAAGATACTTAATCTTTAAAAAACAGCAGAAATCATCTCATGAGCCATGAGATCGTTGGAATACTTACAAATATTTTAATGCCGGCAATTTAAAAAGATACGAATCTTCAACAGTTGTCAGAGGGTTACGATTGAGAATTCTGAAAAATGCAATGGAATTAAAATTATCTGCATTTTCAGTAACTACCATGAAAGTTTATGTTCATTTTTTTGGTATGGGACTTGAAGGTCAAAAGTAATCATTTTCCGCCTTTGCCTATAAATCTGTAAAGCAGTCTTCCTTTGGGAACTACCCAGGTCTCTGAATGATAAAGTGGGAAAGAAAAAAACATTTTTTTTTAAGTGGACGGCAAAGAAAAACTATGCCAAAGAACTTTTCAGGTTGAAAACCCCAGAAGTGACTACCCTAGTAGGAAGCCCTGGCTCTGTAGGAAATACCATTTCTAGTGTCCTCCATGATTTAAGGTGTTTTTCTCTTATCTCTAGAAATTTAAAAAATTCCACAGCTTAAACCACGCAGTTAAAGACAAAAAGAGGACCAATTCCTCAGTTTTGGAGCCAAACAATAGGGGCTAAATGTAGGAGGAACTGGTGAAAGCTATACTCCCACCACATGTTCCGTGTATCCTTGTATCACAGCCTTTGTCATGGCATGTAATCACCTGTTTCCTTGTCAGTCTCCTGGACTGTGGGCTCCTTGAGGGCAGGGACCATACTTGATTGTCATTGTCCCTGTGCCTGACACAGTGCTTGCTATTTACTAGTTACTTAATGAATGTTTGTCGAATAAATAAATAACATTTTTTCATTCTTTGACACAAGTTTTTATTCCAAAGTGTTGAATACATTTTCTTCTCAATGCTTTAAATACAAAAAAGGTAAAAGAAATAGGAAGAAAGAGAAGAAAATCTTCCTTGAGGTTGACTCTACTCAAGAATCATTACTGTACTTTTGCCAAATATTAGAAAGATAATCATCACAACCAATACTATTGGACTGTAAGGCATCTGTGATCAGCATTTCACATTTAATCCTCACAATAACCTTATGTGATAGATATGATCATTCCCCCATTTTACAAACGAGGAAACTGAGGTACAGAGAAGTTATGTAATTTGTCCTAGATTGTCAAGAGAGTCCGAAGCAGAGCTGGAATTTGAAATCAGTTTTGACTTCAAAGCCTGTGTTTAACTCGTATGAAGAAAAGGGGATTTAAAAATAGCTGTTACCTTAAACTTAACTTTGAGAGCACTAAATACAGAAATACTTTGTTGGACTTCATCTCTCCATCTGGGAGAGCTTCTCCGAGAAAGACATTTTCTATTTTTATTCCTTTTCTCTAATCATCTCACATGACTAAGTGTTTAATTAGCCAATGGTCATTGAGACTTTATAGATTTAAAAAACCATGTTATAGGCAAATCAGCTAAAATGGGAAAGTGAGGACATCTGAAAATTCATCTCTCATAAAAGCAACAACAATGACAAAAACTGGAAAAAGTGGTCAGAATTAACTCTGTTAGAAGTTTGGAAAATTTAATCAATGGGCTTGCAGCAACCCAGAGAGCATTCATGAAATAAAAACTAATTTCCGTAAGAACAGTGAGATCTGTTGTTTTAACTTGTCCTAGACCTCTGCTCTCTATCCTGATGGTCGCCTTGAAAAATGGCCCACATCCCAGGGGAGCAAAATGGAGCTGGAGTTCCTTAAAGCCTCATTTTCTTTTTTTTCATTTTATTATGTTATGTTAGTCACCATACAATACATCATTGGTTTTTGATGTGGTGATCCACGATCCATTGTTTTCGTATAACACCCAGTGCTCCATGCAGTACGTGCCCTCCTTGATACCCATCACCGGGCTAACCAATCCCCCCTCCCCCCTCCCCTCTAAAACCCTGTTTGTTTCTCAGAGTCCATAGTCTCTCATGGTTCATCTCTCCCTCCAATTCCCCCCCCCCATTTTTCCCTTCCTTCTCCTAATGTCCTCCATGTTATTCCTTATGTTCCACAAATAAGTGAAACCATATGATAATTGACTTTCTCTGCTTGACTTATTTCACTTAGCATAATCTCCTCCACTCCCATCCATGTTGATGTAAAAGTTGGGTATTCATCTTTTCTGATGGCTGAGTAATATTCCATTGTATATATGGACCACATCTTCTTGATCCATTCATCTGTTGAAGGGCATCTCGGCTCTTTCCACAGTTTGGCTATTTTAAAGCCTCATTTTCAAAGAACTGTCAGTGTTTTACCTGTATAGTGGGTTCCCTGGAAAACCTCGCTTGAAAAGCTTGTCTTTGACCTCACTGAGAGCTGCACAATGCTAAAAGCCTCTTCTTCTCAAGGGGCATTTTTAAAAAACAATTACAGGTAAATGTTTTATCCTGGTGGTCGTGTGAGGCAATGGATTAACAGGCGGGACAAAAAAATAGCCTAACCAAAAATCTTAAAAGGAAAAAGCTGAGAAATAAGATGTCCACAGAGACTTTGAAATGCTTCAACATATTCCTGGGAAACCAGAAGACCACAAGACATATTCCTAGGAATGTAGGAAAAAACTTAGCACTAATAAATGGGGTCAGCAAGGTTGCAGGATACAAGATCAATGTGTAAAAATTAGCTGTATTTCTATACACTAGCAATGAGTAGTCCAAAATGAAATTAAGAAAACAATTCCATGTATAACAATATTAAAAAGAATAAAATCCTTAGGAAAAAATTAACCAAAGAAGTACAAGACTACACTGAAAACTATAAAACACTGTTGAAAGACATTAAAGGACATCAAAATAAATGGAAAGATATGCCACGTTCATGGATTAGAAGAAAATATTGTTAAAATGGCACTATGCCCCAAATTGAACTATGGTTTCAGCACATTCCCTATCAAAATCACAGCTGACTTCTTTCCAGAAATTGGCAAGTTAATTCTAAAATTCATACGTCAAGTCAAGGGACCCAGAACAGCCAAAACAATCTTGATAAGGAAGAACAAAGTGGAAAGACTCATATGCCCCGGCTTCAAAACCCAATTCGAAGCTACAGTAATCATAGTGGGATACTGGCATAAGAATAGACATATAGGGGCGCCTGGGTGGCTCAGTCGTTAAGCGTCTGCCTTCGGCTCAGGTCATGATCCCAGGGTCCTGGGTTCGAGCCCCGCATCGGGCTCCCTGCTAAGCGGGAAGCCTGTTTCTCCCTTTCCCACTCCCCCTTGCTTGTGTTCCCTCTCTCGCTGTGTCTCTCTGTCAAATAAATAAATAAAATCTTTAAAAAAAAAAAAAAAGAATAGACATATAAATTGATGGAACAGAACTGACTGTCCAGAAATAAATACTCACATTTATGGTCTATTAATTTTCTTTTTCTTTTTCTCCTAGTCCATCAGCTTTTTGCTATTCACGGGCTTCTAAATGATTTTTAAAAATATACCTTATTTGAAGAGGAAAACTCAAGTATTTTTGCAAAAGCCTTTTGCTGTAGAACAACGGGACAGATTAAAGGTAGCTCAAAAAATGAGGGAACATTTCTTAGCCGTTATTTTTTTTCCTCCAAATTCTTCTATACAGGTCCAGACAGATAGGCTATGTTTCCTTTCTATTAACTGAGGAGACAGAGAAGAACTGAGGACTGAAGCATGTCATCACTGTCCTGAATGTACTGAAATCCTAACAGGTTTAGCTGAAAAAGTGTCCAAAGCAGGCAGTGAAAATAAATTTAAAATAGGACCAACTCCAAACTCTCTATGCTAGAATCCCAAGGCAGGCAGGGAAAACTGGCTCTTTGGAGGAAGGCAGTCCAAGAAATAAGCAGAGTGACCTAGAACCTGTTCCAGTATGTTTGAAGTACTTGGGGATGGAGTAACCCCTTTCCTTTATTCATCTACATAGGTCCATGAGCCAGGAGAACATGACTCCCCATGTGAAGCTCCTCAATACAAGACATCTAATTTCATGACGTAAATCCTTTCTCGGGTGGGAGGGGAGGGCGAAGTCTAAAGGATCTGAAATTGTGGGCCTATATTTTTTTTTTTTTTTTTTTTTTTAAAGATTTTATTTATTTGAGAGAGAGAATGAGATAGAGAGAGAGCATGAGAGGGAGGAGGGTCAGAGGGAGAAGCAGACTTCCCGCTGAGCGGGGAACCCGATGCGGGACTCGATCCTGGGACTCCAGGATCATGACCTGAGCCGAAGGCAGTCGCTTAACCAACTGAGCCACCCAGGCGCCCCATGGGCCTATATTTTAATCAAAGTTCTGAGAATAGCTTTGAAGAAGAGTTCCTGGCGGTGAGGAACAGCAGAAGAAGCAAGGGCCTCTGGAATCAGGAAGACCTAGGTTTGAATTCTGGCTGTCACATCCTGGTGAAGTGACTGGAGTAACAAACATCTCGGAGTCTCACCTAGCACCATTTACTTCATAAGGCAATTTGAGGATTAAATGAAAGAGCATGTGCAAAGCACCTCACATAAGGCTGGGCACAGAGTAGGTGCCTAGTAATAATGATGTTACATTTGCACTGGGCAGTAAGCAGAAAGTCTGGGGATGCCCAGAGGTGGCATGGCCAGGAGCTCCAGAAGCATGCGACTGTCATGGGGAAAAGGAGCTCTCTTCCCCAAAAGGTCCTATTCCAGTTGGAAACCAACTCCAGGAGACAATGCACAAAATGCCAGATAGTCATCATTCAGCTCCCAGTCCAAGGGAATGCGGAGTTGCCTTACTTGCAAAGCTCCTAGGCGGTTCTGCCACTTGTTAACAGTGTGAACCTAGGCAAGTGACCCAACGTCTCTGAGTTTCAATTTCCTCATCCCCAAAGTGGAGATAATGATATCTACATTGCAAGAGCTGTTGGAAACATGAAAATGAGACACAGTGTGAGAGAGCATGTATTGAGCATTTTCCATGTGCCAGGCACTATCTGAGAGTGTTGGGCACACTATCTTGCTTGTACAATACGTAAAGGTCCCTAGCCTAGTGCCTGAAACACAGTAAGTGCCTACTAGATATAGGTCATAAAGAAACGTTAAGGGGCAGAGGAAGAACTACTCTGCTTCCAAGAGAAAGAAGATATGTTGTTAGATATGTGGGAAGAAGGGATGCGGCTGGGAGAAGGAAAGTATGGTAGTTGCTGGGTAGGACTATCTCAAACCTTTTGAACTATTACAAATAGAAAATAATAAAACAGCCACCCGAAGTTCCCTCAAAGGACAGACCCGAGTTATTATTTTCATCCTGAATGTTTATGCCTTTCTGAATCGGAGAAGAAGCTGCCAGGATTTCCAGTACACAGCAAAAAGTGATGACGATACCCCGCGGTGTATAAACTTGTGTGTGCACACAGCCATCTAAAGGAAACCGATGCTGGATGACGGGGGAGCATTAGGGTGTCTCTGTGACTGCGGCTCGATTTGCCTTCACAGTGTGGCCATGACTACCTCAATGGTATTCTCAAGAGTGGGGTAAATAATTCAGTAGGGATAAGGCTTAGATTTTCCTCATTCTCTCTTAGTGCTTATGTTCTTGGCACAACACTGATGCACCACAGACAAGCCAGCATGTGGATGTGCTCTACGTGGATCAGGTAGAGCCCTTCTACATTGCAGAGTCCTTCAGTTTCTAAAATCATGGAGCTTGTATTGTTAGAACCGATGAAGTGACTAAAAGAATTTTAAAAAATAAGCCATCAGTCTGGACCTGTGTAGGTGAATGAAGGAGAAGCACTTTAAAGTCAGCAAAAAAAGTATACTTAACATTTAGGATTATCAACCACTGCTGGTTTTCCATAATATATGTCATTCCTGATTTCATCTGAAAGAGATATGATTATTACTACCATTCAAAAAGTGGTACCTTATTAAAACAAAATGTAACACAAAACCCCGAAAGTGCTACCTTATTAATAAGCTCTTGGAACGTCTTTGAGGTGGATTTCAGATTTTTGTTTGGCCAGCACACCAGAGGACAGGCTCATTGGGTTTCTCCACCAAGAGGTATAACGTCTCCAACTCACCACCTTTACTAAGCACTCTGTAACACCAAGAGTCTCTTACGAGAGTCTGAATTTCATTATAGTTAGGTGGGAAACGTAGGAAAAAACTGGGTGGAATCAGTTGATAAAAATTCATGGATTCACTGAAAAACATTCACCGAGTGCCATGCCCACTCAAAATAGACTTTACCACACTGCTAACTAGTTCACTCTGTGTTTATCAATAACTTAGAGGCTTCATTCAAGAAACTTACTGAGTTATAATTATCTGAAACCCAGGGGTAAATCAAGGATCTTGTGGGGCCTGAACCTCATCTACTTTGGGAAATCCTGTCTAATAAAAACATGCAAAATTATGAATACAAAAAATTGCTAGGACCCTCTCCCAAGACCCTGGAAGGGGCCTGTGTAAGCAAGGAGTCCTGAGGCGTAAGTTCAAGATAAATCCACCTCAGCTGGGGCCTCTAAGTTTTACAAACTAAGCTAATGCCAGAGAAAGTATCGTTTCCACTTACAAACACCCCAGTAATATGTCACATAGGAAATAACATGACTTAATTCAAGGGGTAGCACCTTCCCTTGGCAACTTGCCTTTGAAAAGAGATGCAATAAAGTCCCTGTCTCACTATGGCAAACATTTCCTGAAGCAGACGAGCTTTGTCTCTTAGACAAATGTGGCTCCCAACAAAGAAGGAGCCTCGCCCCCAATACACACTTACTATACTGGGATTTCTTTCGGAAGGAGCCGTGAATTCGTTTCGGTAGTGCAGCTCTATTCAAATCATGTGACATGGGTATGAATTTATTTTCAACGCCAGCTAGCTCTGGTTCTTTAATTACCTTTTGCTGTCATTTAAGATGCACGCAGAAAGTCAACACAAACAAGTTGTTGCCTCATCCATTACGAATCTTTCCTATCCCGCAACCCATTGCCTACTTTGTCGCCCCCCCACCTTGGGACCCTGCTGAACAGATGCCCGCAGGACTCCTGTGGGCCTTCCCCTCAACACCCATCTTCCTCCTCCTGGCATGAGAGTTCCTTGGAGCCGTCCCTGTCCTGTTCTTCTTTGCACCCCCAGCATTTAGTACAGTGTCAACACATGGTGGGCACGGCACTCGGTGAATGTTTTTCAGTGAATCCATGAATTTTTATCAACTGATTCCACCCAGTTTTTTCCTACGTTTCCCACCTAACTATAATGAAATTCAGACTCTCGTAAGAGACTCTTGGTGTTACAGAGTGCTTAGTAAAGGTGGTGAGTCTGAGACAGTATACCTCTTGGTGGAGAAACCCAAAGAGCCTGTTCTCTGGTGTGCTGGCCAAACAAAAAACTGACCCTGAGGACTCCTTCCCCAAGTGAGGCATCAGCAAATTAATGAGAGGAGAGAGGAGGCCGCTGCAGATGGACATCGGCGGCAACAGGTACTCAGCGCCAGACACGCCCTCAACACCTCCATCTATTCTAAAATAAACTGTGTGAAATTGTATTTCTGAACCACGAGACAGGTAAGGTAGTCTTTTCCAAAGGCAGGTTTAGAGGAGGATCTTCACCTTGTGTCTAAAATCCCACTCAGGCCATTGAACATACCCACTTATGACTTGCTATGTCACAGAGAAATCACGGAATTTTCCAGCTGAAAGGGAATAACACGCTTCTTACTGAAGAACAGTCAGGAAAGAAAGCATATGAAATTAGGCTACAGCAATGTATTTTCTTCATGAACGTTTTTCACACTCCAACTTAACATAAACACATCTTTTTCCATACCTCAAAGGTTGCTATTGCCCCCAGATAATTTACTTCAGAGGTATATACTTTTTGCTCTGGGTGACTGCGGAGAGAGGGGTCTTGTGGTAAGTTTTCAGGAGTTCTTTCTGCTTTACCATTTAAAAGAAGCTGATGGCTGAGGAAGGACACACACTCTTGCTCCCTGGAGAACTCTGTGCTAAACTTAGTTCTTTGAAGCTTTATTTTGCATGTATTGAAGCAGTTAGGAACTTTGCACATGAGCAGGAATCAAAGTTAAGTTCGAAAGTGGAATTTCAAGGACCACGCACCTATCAGAGAAGCATCATTGTCACGGAGTCCCAGGATAATGCTGATTTGGGTGTTATTTGCTTGGGGTCTTTTACTGCCCACACCAAAGCTGAGTACTAGAGAAAGCAGAGTGTGCCATTTATGAGACAGACAAGTCTCTTGGCCTCTTTGTACCTTAGTTTCCTCATTTGAAAAAATGAATGGATTTTAAGACATACTTTTCAGAGTTCATACTAGGCTTATTACACCCACCGAACCAATAACTGGATGATGTTTTTACACATAGTTATTTTTTCTTACATGTATTCATTTTCTATTTCACTTACAATTTGTGTAAAAACTGCATTCCATGCCAGGCCTGAAATGTTCCAAAGCTCAGTTCTGTGAGTAAATTGCAACCAAGATTTCTAAAAAAAAAAAAAAAAAAAAAAAGACACAAGCAAAAGAAGAACAAAAGATATTCTTTCAGAACATTTATCCTTTGGCAGTGATTCCAATTTATATATGATGAAACATAACCTCAATACGCTCTCCATACACTGAAGAAATCTCACTATGGAAGATACTTTTGGAAAAAAATTTGCACGAAAGGTTTATACTTTCATGTTTATACATGTGGTGCATTAGATACAAATCAGTCAATGTTCTATAAATACTTGTGTTAAGTAATCTTTATTTCTCTAGAAAAATGTTTCACAACATCAGCATTATTGACATCTATGGTTGGATCGTCTCTGTTAGGAGGGGCGGTCCTGCGCATTGTGGGGTGTTTAGCAGCCTCTGCCCACTAGATGCCAGTAGTTCATCTACAGTCTGACAACCATAAATGTTTCCAGACACTGCCAAATGTCACCCGGTGGCAAAATCACCCCGGTTGAGAACCACTGCTCTAGAATGATTCAGTCTGATCTATACAAAAGTCTCACACTAATCTTTGCTACAGACAAAAAAGATTTGCTACATAATTTTAGTAGCTTTCTACTAATAAAATTTCAATCATATTTCAAAATGATTATAACAAAGAGGCTTACAATTAAGTTTAACAAAAATTCCAAGTATAATGAAATTATATTTGTAACTTACATAAACTGCAAAAAAGGTAGTGGTTCAAATGTACGTCTTTCAATAGATTGTATTTTATTGCAGGATAAATCTCTAGGAAAAGGAAAAGGAAAATATTGCCTCAATTATCTATTCGATATCTAATTAGTAGGATGATAGTATTGAATAAGTAGCTTTTGCCTAAACTCTGAATCTCAGGAATTGTTTTTTGAACCTTCCAGAGCCCCTAACTCTACTTACTCTGTCCTCACCTCTCTTAAGAGAGTCTCACCTTCAAGATCTTCATAAATAAAATCCACAACTATAGATCTTGATAGATCTTGGAAGTAATCTCTCCTGAGAGCAGAAGAATTGATTAGAGGATCTTTTGTGGTCTCATCAATTTCTAGATTATGAGGTCAAAGTTTTTATCTCCACATACAATTAGAATTTCTTTTTTCAAGATTTATTTATTTATTTCAGAGAAAGAGAGTGAGCGAGCGAGCGAGAGAGAGCACAAGTAGGAGGGGCAGAGGGAGAGGGACAGAGAATCCCAAGCAGACCCTGCACTGAGCACAGAGCCCAGTGCGGGGCTCCATTTGAGGACCCTGAGATCATGACCTGAGCTGAAACCAAGAGTCAGATGCTCAACCAATTGTGCCACCCAGGTGCCCCTATAATTACAATTTCTAATATTAAAAGGGATATTCTCACATTAGCACAACTTCTTGCTTTAGTTCTATTTTTCTAGGCCAATTCAATAGCAGAAGAAATAAAAGATGTCCTTTCATTTAACTTGAAAGGAAATCACTCCTCTAATCAATACATAACTTTGAACTAACTCAGAATTATATTATCATATGAATAGAAATTCATTTTTGGTCATACACTGCCTTAATAGTCCATGAATTTATTAACTGCTTCAGTTGCAGGTAGTGAGACAACAATAAAAACCACATGGTACTGGATTTTTATTTGAAAACACCCATTCTTGATTATAGCTGACCTTCTTACTTCCACTCATCCCAGCTTAGTTCCTCACTTTCCACCTAGTCTTCTGATGGGCATTGCCATATCCAGTCTCTCCCTTTCTAATCCATCCTACACACAGTTACCAGATTAATTCTCCCGAAGTGGTTCTCGAATACCAGCATCCCTTGGGAACTTAATCAAGATGCAAATTCTCAGCCCTACTGTGGACGGAGTAGTCTGTAATCAGTAACTGTGTTCTGACAAGCCCTCCAGGTGACTCTGCTGTAGGCTAAAGTCTGTCCTGGAGCACTGCTGTGATAACCCAGTAGCTTGGCATGTTATCCATGGCCTTCAAAATCCTAGAAGATCTGGCTCCAACCTCCTACTCTACAAGTACCAGATATTCCTGCATTTTGCCTTTCTCCCATTCTCCTTTGCAACCTTATTCTTCCCAAGATGTCTGTCTGATGATACCCAATAGCTCTTCAAGGTCCTGTTCAAACAGCATTGCTCTAATAGCTTCCCTGATCCAACGTGAAGTCTTTTTTCCCTCATCTGTGTTCCAAAAACAACTTAGATCTCTCATTGCCCATATCCATTTCTCCTTCTCCTCCTTCTCCTCCTCCTCCTCCTCCTCCTTCTTTTTAAAAAAATTTTTAAGTAGGCTCCATGCCCAACCGGGGGCTTGAACTCATGATCCCAAGATCAAGAGTCACATGCTCTACCGACTCAGCCAGGCAGGCACCCCAATTTCTTTTTAATATAGTTATTTTTGCATCCCATGTCCACTGAGCATAAACTCCTTGAAACTATGGACTAGTTGTGTTCATCTGCATTGCCTACCATGTTTAAAACTGACACAGGGACCGAAAATAAACTCAAATATTTATAAAATAAACAAATAGCTGGGTAATGAGTAGCAGAAGCAAAATGACTGTTTTAAAAGAAATGTAGTTCTATGACTTTATGGCTTCTTCTGCACCTCTCTGGCACCTTGTCCGCTTAGTGCTTTACACATTATGGTTTGAGCTTCTGTTTATTTTCCTTGTGAGATCATGAGTTCCTACAAGGGTAAGAAGCCTGTCTTAACCATCTGTGAGCCTATGATACTGGGCATAGTGCCTGTCATATTAGCTTTTGATTGACATGTTTTTAAATGAATGAGAATACTTCAGCTAACATGAAGTGACTGGTTTACAAAGTATTTCACAGTAGAAGTAATGAAGGACCTAATCCATTGAGCAGTTTATCTCCTTTGTTTTTTTCCAAACTGTGTTTGTAAGGTTTGGAGTCCAGATGGCAGAGGTATCCAAGAAGACCAATACAAGAGTGGCTGTTTCCTAAGCCTTGGAAGGTTTGATCATTTAAAAGACTATTCTTAATATCATATCCGGCTCTTTTTACCCACTACCCTTAAACCTTCTACATTTACAAGAAGAATCCATTTGCTAAAGAGCATCATTAATAAGGATTCATGACATACACAGCTGTGGATGCCATGGACAAAGAAGAAAAATTGAACCAGGCATCTGGGTGGCTCAGCTGGTTAAGCGTCTGACTACGGCTCAGGTCATGATCCCAGGGTCCTGGGATTGCGTTGTCCCGCATCAGGCTCCCTGCTCAGTGGGGAGTCCTCTCCCCTTGCTCCTCCCCCCTGCTCATGCTCTCTCTCTCACTGTCAAACAAATAAATAAAATCTTTTTAAAAATTTTTAAAAAGAATAAAAATTGAACCTTCATAACAAAGAATATAGTATCCCTGTATGTCTAAATCCATAGAAATACCACGCAAGCATTTCCTCCTTTACAATGAGGCTGGAGAGATTTTATTTTGTAATTTGTGAAGTTAGGGGCATTTCTGATATGTTTATTTAGCGTAAACATTTCTAACTATACCACTTAACCATCATTTTATTTTATTCTTTAAAGATTTTATTTGTTTATTTGTGAGAGAGAGAATGGATGAACGCACAAGCTGAGGTAGCGGCAGGCAGAGGGAGAAGCAGGCTCCCCGCTGAGCAAGGAGCTCGACAGGGACTCGATCTCAGGGTCCTGGGATCATGACCTGAGCCGAAGGCAGATGCTTAACCGACTGAGCCACCCAGGAGCCCCTTATTTTACTTTTTTTAAAAAGATTTTATTTTTCTCAAGTAATCTCTATACCCAATGTGGGTTTTGAACCTACAACCCCGAGATCCAGAGTCGCTTGCTCTACCAACTGAGCCAGCCAGGCACCCCTTAACCATCATTTTAAACATCTATTTTTAATATTGGTATAAGAATTCCCACACTGAAATCCTTAATCTGTTCTCTTGGTAACTTAATATGTACTTGATAATACTGCTTACATAATTTACCTGCTTACTTAAATATTTAATATTTAAATATTTAATTTAGCTTAAATTTTAAAAAAATTCTGGGTTAATGGCATTCAAATTAATCTAAGTGGTCTATATTTTCTTGTCCTGTAGGTGATAATTTTTTTTGAATCTTTTTTTTTTTTTAAAGATTTTATTTATTTATTTGACACAGAGAGAAAGACAGCGAGAGAGGGAACACAAGCAAGGGGAGTGGGAGAAGGAGAAGCAGGCTTCCTGCGACCCCAGGACCATGACCTGAGCTGAAGGCAGACGCTTAACGACTGAGCCACCCAGGCACCCCTGTAGGTGATAATTTGAGGTTAACTTTAATTCCTCTCATTTTACTAAACCAATTTTTAAAACCTTTTCTGTAAAAGCCAGATAGTAAATATTTTGGGCTTTGCAGGCCACATGCTGTTTCTGTTGCATATTCTTCTCTTTCTCTTCTTTTCTCTTTTATAGCCCTTTAAGAATGTAAAAATCATTCTTAACTCATAGGCTGTATAAAGACAGACCATGGGCGGGATTTGATCCATGAGCCATAAACTAAATATAAATGTAAGCAGATGGTATATGAACACTTATGAAACAAGGTTCATATGGGTGTCCATAATTGCTCAGACCTCATTACCCCTTTTGCTCTATAACTATAGGGTCTTTTTCTGTCTATATCTTGTATATAAAATTAAAAAAACTGAAAACACAGAGAAGATATTTAATGCTAGAGATGGGTTGGGGCCCTACAGAGTTACAGAACTGTAGAGTTTTATTGTTAGAAGAAATTGTCGCGATTATCTAATTTGAACCCCATATTTATTTTATAGATAACTAAAAAGTCATAATAAATGATTAATTAACTTACAAATACTGGAGGGATAGTAGGCCTTCAAATGAGTCCTTATGTAATTCGGTCAAATAATTTTCACTGAGAATTCTGAAAAACGAAAAGGTTATTTTTGCATCAAAATGCAAAATACCTACAACTATTTACTACCTAGGATTAACTTCCATATGGGAGGGGAAACTTGGGAAATGGTGCCCCGTAAATACACTAATTCTTATTTAATTTAGGAGTACTGATCTCTGCTCTGTTTCCATTCAAATCCTTCTTTTCATGTACTCCTTTGTGTCCATCTCTCTTCATCTCTCTCTCCCTCTCTCTCTCTCTCTCTCTCTGTCATACACACACATACACCCCTATCTACTCTTTGCACCAAAATGCATATTTAATGCCTACTCTCTGGATCACAAAGTCTCTGCTAGAACCCAGCTCTGGGTGCCAACAACCCTGGCAGAACTGCCATTTCCTCCTCTCTTTTCCCAAATTCTATTCGGAAGCCCCATACACAACTATAGCAGCGTGGCAGAGAAAGCCGTTCATTTTTTTGCACTCCGACTAAAAAATATTTTTGAGAACTAAAAAAATGTTCATTAATAAATGTTCAGTTTAATAATTATCAAGCAAATACCCATATAACACCATTCATGTCAAGAAAAAGCCCTGCCTGCATCCCAGAAGCCCCCAGTGTGCCCCTTCCAATCACAACCCTCTCTCTGATTCCCCAGAAGTAACCACTATGCTGACTTTAATAATAATTTCCTTCCTTTTTGTTTTTTTATTTTTTTAAAGATTTATTAATTTGAAAGAGAGAGGGAGGGGCAGAGGGAGAGGGAGAGAGAGAATCTCTAGCAGACTCCCCACAGAGTGGGGAGTTGAAATCTCAATTTGGTTACTAATATTTTTATCAGAAATACTTGACCGTATTTAGATTTCATAAAATTTACACTTGAAAAGCTAACATCACATACTCACATTGTTGCAAACATATTTAAACATTTTCTAATAACTGTTGAGTATCAGTTTTTTAATTTAAATTTTAAAATAACTGAAATTAACTAAATTCAAAATTCAGCTCCTCAGTCATACTAGCTACTCCCAAGTATTCAGTAGCCACATGTAGCAAGACATGCAATACTAGGCATTGAAATGAACCAACCTCAGCTACATGCAACAATATAATGAATTTACAAGATAATGTTGACTGAAAGAAGCAACATAGAAAATAATACATATGATTCCATTTATATAGAGTTAGAGTTCAAGAAGAGGCAAAACTAACTTATGTTGTTTACAGCTGCCCTGTGATAGGTAAAACTACATTTAAAAAGAGAGGAAATTAGGGGTGCCTGGGTGGCTCAGTTGGTTAAGCATCCAACTCATGACTTGGGCTCAGGTCATGATCTCAGGGTCGTGGGACAGGGCTCTTTGTAATTGAACTCTAACTCTATATAAATGGAATCATATTATATGATTTCTTATCAGTACTTGAAATTATATCTATTTATTATATTTACATATTTGTTTTTATATTATATATTTGTAAACCCCTCGAGAACTGGGATATTTGGTCAATTTTATTCTTGAGCCTCTATCCCAGGCATGTAAAAACAGTTCCTGGTATATAGTAGATGCTCCAGAAATATTTGTTGAATGAATTCAAAAAGTGACAGGTATCAATATGCAAACATACTGCCTTTATTTAAAACAAAGTATCCATTTATTATCACTGGTGAGGATAAGTACAACTTAATAATAAATAATAATAATGTCTTTATAATAATAATGATAAATTATAACAATTTATAATCATAATAAATAAATAATAAATGTCTTTCTCCACCCCCACCCCTTAATTTGTGACTCAATCTCAATCTTTTTAGACAAGAACCTTTTGAGAGTTTCATAAAAGCTATGGACCTTTTCCCTAGAAAACCGCACTTTCTTGAATATGTGCAAAGGTGTGCACGTGATTTCAATTTATGAATCATCCCTTTTGGGCACAGGTCTGTGAGGAGAATGGACTGAATTCGGAGGAGGGCCAAACTTGGGTGGATAATAAAATGATATATCACATATTTGTTGTAGATATCTCAAAATATCATTTATTCTCATCACTACCTTGAATTGTTATTATACCTACCACTATATCTTGTTATTTAATGTGTGAACAGAAGCAGGTTTATTGCTATATCACTAATCTTTTTTAAAAAATATTTTGAAAACTGTATTTCAACATAATTTCCTTTTACTATACATTTTAAATTATTATACATTGATAAACATTATCCCAAGAACACAGTCCTCTGCAGGTCATCAAATAGATATATAGAAAAAAAGGTTAAAAATCCTGCCCCAGGGGACCAGTGATCCATAGTTAGGAACCTCTGCCTCAAGCTGAATTAGAAATCTGCAAATCTTACTAGATTCATGTTCTAGTATATAAACTCCCAAACACATGCTTTTTAAAAATTAATTTTTAAATTTCTATTTACTTTCTAAAAATATGTTTTATATATATGTATTCACATGGCTCAAAATTCCAAAGGTATATAGTACACAATTCAAAGTTTTTCTGCTACTCCTGTCCCTCAGCCTACCCATCCCCCTCCACTCCCTAAAGAAAAGTAACGTGCCAAATGACTTTCAGTTTTCTTACAAGTGTGGGAAATAAAATCTCCAAGTCAGACACTATCATGGGGAAATACAAACTATAAATAGTATTTAAGAAATTCATAAAATAAAAACATTTTGCTTGGTTCTAGCATTTCTCCAATAAGATAACAAACTAAGGGTGGGGGGTCTACTTTAGTGGGATCATAACCCCTATTTTTAGATTACTATGACTACTATGTCTTTTATTACTAATTCAGAAGTCATTTATGACTTATCTACTCAAGTTGAACTAATGATACGATACACAAGCTGTCATGAAAAATGCCAGTTAATTGCTTTGAGTGTACTATTTTTTCCAAAATCATTTGTATCTACATTGACTTTTTCTACAAATCAATTAAAAAAAAGATAACAAAAAGTTGGCAAAGGACAGAAAATTCAGATAAGAAATACAAATGTTTAGTAAACAAAGAGAGACATTTAAATTTACAAGTCATTTACAAGAAAACTTCAAATTCAGATGAGACCCCTTTTATTCACCCATCAGATCAGCCAAGAAATGGAGAATATCCAGTGGTGGAGGGGTGTGAGGAGGTGAATGCTGTCATGGTCTATGGGTTGGGGTGTATACAAGTCGGCACAACTTTTTTGAGGGCAATTAAAATTGTACATCTACATAGTCTTCATCCCAACAATTCCATTTCTAGATCTCTATTCTACAGAAATCCCTGCCTGTGTACACAAAGATGCATGGATGAGGTGGTTCACTGCAGCAATGCATGTGACAAGAAAACCAGACACAGTCTAAACATCCATCCATAGGGGAATTATTAAATTATAATACATTCATACTACGGAATATTACGCAGGAGTTTACGAGAATGGGGTAACCCCCTATGTACTAGAAGAAAAGAAATCTAAGACCTACCATGAAGCAAAAGAATGGAGTTGTAGGATGTTACCATTTATGTAAAAGAAAAAAAAGAAAGAAAGAAAATCACACAACAAACCTATTTTGTTGTCTATAAATATGTATGTAGACAAATGCATGGATAAAGGTCTGGAAGGATATATATGAAACCCAGAGTAGTGGCTATCTCAGCGGTGGGGGATCAGAACACAAGGAGGATGTTCACTATATCACGATATTCTTTGATTTTTATACATTGAGAATATAATCATGTATTCCTTGTATAATAGAATATAAGTTTAGATTGACTCTAATTTTAAAGAGAGCCTGCCAAATTTAATTTTTAAAATAAACACTGAATTGCAATCAATAGGGGTTGAATTGGGATATGGAGGGGGAAATACCTTTCCTAAGAGCTACTGACTTCAAAATTCTGGACCAAGAAGGATCTTAGAATGCAGTTCAGTTTTTTGTATTTGTATTTGGAGAGAATATACTCACAGTTTCTCAGTCCAACGGTATGCCTTCCATATATTTTTATCGATCTCAGAAATAGAATTTCCTTTGAAATTTCTGTGAAGAAACACCGTTCAGATCCTTGAATAGGTAGGAAAAGAATGAACAGAATAAGTAGAAGAAGCATTGGCAACCTTGTGGGGAATATTCAAATGCAGAAAATACCAGCGTTCTAATTTCCACAGTTATCAGCATCCCAGTTTGCACAATTAATGAAGAGATGAGGTGGGACTGCTGTGCGCAAACAAGGCATCTCCCTAGAACCTGAACTTCCTATCTTGGACAGATATTGCCAGTGAATTACTTTGACTATGAGCGTTTTTTCCAAAATCACTTATGAGTCCAAAATGGCTCCTTCGTAAATCAGTGAGAAAATAAGAATTCAACAGAAACATGGCAAAAATGTATCACTTATCAGCAAACAAAGGTAAAGAAATCCTAAGCCAGGCAACACCAAAGCTTTGGCTCAGTGCCCTCTGCTGAAACCTCTTCAGCTGTTCGGATAAAGGAAGTTAGAAATTAGAGGAACTAATATGGAGAGATTTCTTAGACGCACTGCATAAGGAAAAGCAACAAATCACTGAGCAAGGAATAGAAAGTATTACCTCATTAGGGGAAAAATTGCAAAGGAAAGCGATGGGAAGGAAGGACACACACCGAAATGGTAACAGGAGTTATCTTACAGGTGGTAGGGAGGGTGGGGTGGGATTTTTACATTTTATCCTATATGCTTGTGCCATTTAAAAACAAACGAACAAAACGAACAACAAAAAAAAACCCCAGTGAGAATGTATCCACGAATTGCATGTGTTTAAAAGAAGCCACGAAATGCCTGAGACTCCGTTTCATCCACTAACTCTATGTATTTTTACCTTTAGCTTTACTCAGCAACAACTTACCTATTCAGTTTATATACACATTTTTTCTAGGGGAGTCAGAAACAAGGCAACACAGGTACCCATCTGCCCATCTGCCTAGTGGCCATTTCCAGGAACCAGAAGCCTTCTGGTTGCTTTATGTTCCCTGAGAAAAGATGCCCCAAACTGAACTTATCTCCCTCAAACTGGCTCTCCTTCCCAACTACTGTGTTTCCACCTGTTCTTCCGCCATTGTACTGCTCATACAGGACAGAAACTTCGAGTCATGTTTCATTTTTCTCTTTCCTGGACACACCCTACCCGCTACTCTCATCAGTTACTCAGTCTTGCCGCTTCTTCCTTTGTGGTGCTCTCAGGATTTTCTTTCTACTCCTATCACAGCCACTCTGATCCGGCCCCTTGTCATTTTACTCCCAGCTTTTGCTAGAGCCTTCTATCTGGTCTCCCTAGATCAAGCTTCGCTCTCTAGATCGCTCTACATAGGGAATCAAAAACAATCCTCTTGTTTTAATGGTATTTATCTCTTGCGGGAAAACTTTCAGTGACTCTCTATATCTCCGAGTGTAACTTTCAAACCCCTCTAGGTGATAGTTAAGGGTTTTCATAATCATATCTTTCACAGCGTCCTAACCTAATTCTTAATTCCTGATCAGTCTTGCAGCACTGACTTTGCCTAGACTATACTCCCTACTTTTGCTCTGTTTAACAAATCATAGCCACTCTTTAAGTCTCAGCTAAAGTTTTAGCTTATCCATGCAGCTCTCCCACACCTCCACACTCTATTGATTACAGATTCTGGTGAATTACAGCACCTATGGTCTGTACTTAATCATAGGTCACCTCCCTTTCTATGCCTGTTTCCTTTCGTCCCACCTATCATTTCACGTTCTAAAGACAATGTCATAATCCCATGGATCCCACAGTACTGAGTCCTGGGCTGGGCACAAAATAGGTGCTATATATAGAAGGCCAGGGAACAAAGATGAGTTCTGAACATAACTGAGGAGTCAAATTATAATAGATAACACTCATAAATATGCTAGGCACCAATGTAAGCGCTTTATAAGTATTAACTCATCTAAATCTCACAATAAGCCCACGAGATGGTAACTATCATAATCCCCATTTTCCGGAAAAGGAAAATGAATCAAAAGCTAGTAAGTGACAGACCTCGGTTCAAACCCAGGCGGTCTAGTTCCAGAATCTCTACTCTTAACCCCTTTGTTCTATCACCACCAACGAGATGGAGAGAAGGACATGTTGCTATAAAGAGGATGGAGCAAAAGTGGGAGAGTAGAGGTTAAGGAATGAAATGATGGGGATAAAAAACTGGGTAAGAAAAAGGAATAAGGACAATGGCAAGCAAAAGATTGGAGAAGGGGGAACAATAGCAAAGAGCAAAACAAAGATAAGGGACAGTTGACAAAGAAAAGGTAAAAACAGAAAGTCAACATGGGTTGGGGAGATAAGGAAGGCCCAGGAAGACCTCGAAGAAAAGGCTGCCATGGCAAGCAGGAGGCAGAGAACAAATGAGGAAAGACAATTCTTACAAGATGGTGAAGGTGCCGCTGTAGGTGTTGGGCTCTGGCACAAGCACTCTGTGGAGCCTCTGCTTTGGGCTGAAACCAGTACACGACAGCGTCTCATTTTTGCAGGTACAGAGCTCACATATGTTGATGTTCGTGGTAGCGTTCTCTTCTGGTGGCTCAGTTAAAGTTGCGTATGCCTTTTCTGGGGTATATTTTACAAAATGCAGCAATGAACGCAGGGTCGTTGGGGGAAAAACTGTCTCAGATGACACTGGTTGCGGACGTACAGTAATTTTCAGGTCCATGGGTGGAACAGTGACTTTAGTCAGGTTCGGACGTTGACTCTGAACCTGTTCTGGATGGGCAAGTGTCACCTCAAGGTCCTTTGGAGGAGTTCTAGTCTGCTGCAGGGTTTAGACTGTTTAACCTCTGTAGTAGATTCTGGAGTTATGGTAAGCTCCAGGTCCAAAGGTTGAACTGTCACATTTGGTGACCACCGATGCTGAGCTTGATCCTGACGTGGTGTTGGAACTGCTGCCTCCTGATATACGGGAGGTTGAGATACAAGTTCCTTAGGCGGCTCTGGATACTGATGTGGGGTCTCGTGCATGGCTGGAGAAGGTTCAACCTCAGTAGTAGATTCTGGACTTATGGTAAGTTCCAGGTCCAAAGGTTTAACTGTGACTTTATTTAAGGTTGGATGGTGAGACTGAACCTGCTCTGAATGTGCAAGTGTCACCTCAAGGTCTTTTGGAGGAGATGTAGTCTTTTTTAGGGTTGTAAAATGTTCAACTTCTGTAGTGGGTTCTGGACTTACAGTAAGCTCCAGGTCCAAAGGTTGAACTGTTACATTGGGTGATGATGGATGCTGAGCTTGATCTTGACCTGGTGTCTGAACAATCTCCTCCTGATATACTGGAGATTGAGCTACAACAACCTCTTTAGGTGGCTCTGGAGCCTGAATTGGGGTCCCCTGCGTAGGTAGAGAAAGTTCAGTCTCCTTAGTAAATTCTGGAGTTATGGTAAGCCCCAGGTCCAAAGGTTGAACTGTGACTTCAGCCAAAGTTGGATGCTGAGTCTGAACCTGCTCTAGGTGTGCCAATGTCACTTCGAGGTCCTTTGGAGGAGCTACAGTTTTCTTCAGGGCTGTAGAATGTTCAACCTCTATAGTGGGTTCTGGAGTTATGGTAAGCTCCAGGTCTAAAGGTTGAACTGTGACTTCAGTCAAATTTGGTTGCTGAGCCTGAACGTGCTCTGGATGTGAACGTGTCACCTTGGGGTCCTCTGGAAGAGAGAGTCTGCTGCAGGGCCATGGAATGCTCAGCCTCTGTAGTAGGTTCTGGAGTTACAGTAAGCTCCAGGTCAACAGGTTTAACAGTGGCACTGGGCAAGTTTGAAGGCTGAGCTTGCTCTTGTCCTAGAGGTGGAACTATCACCTCATGACGGACTGGAGGTTCTGCTGCAACCTCCTTACGTGGTTCTGGAGGCTGAGCTGGAGCCTCCTGCTGGGTTGGAGAAGGTTCTACCTCCTTAAGGGGCTCTAGAGGTAGAGATGGGGCTTCTTGCAGGACTGGAGAGGATTCTACCTTCTCAGGAGACTGTGGAAGCTGAGAATGGGTCTCTTGAGAGATTGGAAAAGGTTCTACTTTGCCTGGGAGTTCTAGAGGCTGAGCTGGGGTTTCCTGCTGGGCTGGAGATGGTTCTACCTTCTGAGGGGGCTCTGAAGGCTGAGCTGGGACCTCTGGCTGTGTGGGAGAAGATTCCACCTCCTTAGGGGGCTCAGGAGATATAGCTGGGGCCTGCTGGGGGACAGGGGACTGAGCTGGGGCCTCCTGCTGTGTGGGAGAAAGTTCCACCTCCTTAGGGGGTTCAGGAGACATAGCTGGGTCCTGCTGGGGGACAGGGGACTGAGCTGGGGCCTCCTGCTGGGCTGTAGAAGATTCAACCTCCTTAGCCAGCTCTGGAGTTACGGTAAGTTCCACATCCGCAGATTTATGTGTAACACTGGAAAACCTTAAATAAGTTGGATAGTGGCTTATAGGTTGACTTATCACCTCATCACTTACTGAAGTTTGAAATAGATACTCCATAGGAAACTCTGGAACTAGAGTTGGGGCCTCCTGTTGGACTGGACTAGGTCCAGCCTCCTCGGGGCGCTCTGCAGGCCAAGCCGGGGCTTCTGGCTGGCCTGGGGTGGGGCCAGCCTCGTCGGGGCGCTCTGTTGGCCAAGCCGGGGCCTCCGGCAGGGCTGGGGTGGGTCCAGCCTCCTCGGGGAGCTCTAGTGGCTGAACCGGGGCCTCTACCTGGACTGGAGTGGGCCCAGCCTCCTCGGGATGCTCTGCTGGCCGAGCCGGCGCCTCCGGCTGGACTGGGGTGGGCCCAGCCTCCTCGGGGCGCTCTACAGGCTGAGCTGGGGCCTCCTGCTGGATTGGAGAAGCCTGAGCCTCCTCGGTGCGCTCTGGAGGCTGACTTAGAGTTAAAGTAAGTACCAGATCCACAGGTTTAACAGTGACGTTGGAGAAGTTTGGCCACTAAGCTTCATTCTTACTTAAAGATGGCACATTCACCTCATGTGCTATTGGTTGAGGTACCATCTCCTTAGATGGCTCTGGAGGTTGAGCTGGGGACTCCTGAGGGGTCGAACGTTCTACTTCCTCAGGGGCCTCTGTCGGTTGAGCTGAGGCCTCCTGAGGGGTCGAAGGTTCTACTTCCTCAGCGGCCTCTGTGGGTTGAGCTGAGGCTTTCTGTTCTAGTAAAGAAAGTTTGATTTCTTCAGGGGTACTTGAAGGCTCAGCCAGGGTCTCCTGTGGGTTTACACCTTCCTTAAGGATCTCTGGAGGCGGAGATGGAGCCCCCTGCTGAATTGAAGATGTTTCTATCTCCTCAGGGGGCTCTGAATGTTGGGCCTGGGCCTCCACCTGAGGCCAAAAAGATTCAGCTTCCTCAGGCAACTCTAAATGATTTGGGGTCTCCTGCAGGAGTGGAGGAATTTCAACCTCCTCAGGGAGCTTTGGAGGTTGATCTGATCCCCCTGGGAAATCCATTGGTACATTCACCTCAGGATATAGGATATCCATACTGGAATCTGAATAACCATCCTGCAACTGTTGTTGTAGGTGGTCTTTATTTGCAAATTGGCTTGGAGTTCCAACAACTTTGGCAAGCCTTTGATGCTGAGCTAGATCTTTCTCCAGGTTTGGGGGTGAAACAATAAACTTCCTTGGCTTTGAACTGTGACTATCCAGAGGTGGAACAAGTATTTCAAATGACTGGTGATCTTTAGCCTGATCTAGACCTACAGTTTTAATCGTACTTTGGAGTCGAGGAGGCGGAGCTATGGTCTGATTCTGATCCCAACCTAGCCTTGGAACCACCTCTGGGAGCCTTTCCAGCTGGGTTAGCCAGTCAATCAGATCCTGCTCTGCCTCTGGGGGCAGCTTACCAACTGAATCCGTGTCCGGGAATGGAACCAAAGTCTCAGTCAACTCCTTAGGCAGGGCCAACAATTGGGCTGGAGCAGAGGACCCCTCTCCTGGGGGTGTAAGTGCATGGAGCGATTAGGGCGGGAATTGAGAGGACTGTGAAGACCAGGGCTCGGTGGGCCCCAGGAGGTCGGCGGTCAGCTGGGCATGGTCCAGGGCCCACTCCGGAGGCTGAGCTGCCTGGACCAGCAGCCACAATGATTGCCACGTGCGGAGCAGCAGTGGGGCCCAGAGGCGCAGCCGGGACATGACACCCGGATGCTCTGGGGCGCAGCGACCCATACTAATGAATCAGCACCCGCCGAATGGGAGCTGAACCGTTATGGCAGCCCCGTGACGCGCGCACCATTAAGAACTGCACGCCCCTCCCCCGCCTACATTCCACCCTTTATTACGCTACCTTTATTAGCTCAGCGCCGAGGGGCACCGCGCCCCTCGGAGCAAGCCCCTTTTCCAGAATCACCAGGGCCCAAGCCTCCCTTCCCCCTACGAAGGGCACAACCACCTCCTGGGGCTCACAGCGAGGCAGGATGGGCCCGGACTCCAGCAGCTCTGGGGTGGAAGGGGACAGGGGGCAGTTTCCCAAGGACGCCACAGGACCCGGCATCCCAGGAAATTAAAAAACGCTAGTCCAATTCTGGCGGTTTGAACTCGGCCTCTTCAAAGCTTAAATCCGAGAGACATTCTTCCTCCCCTGGGCCATCCTGCTTCCAAGAAAAGTAGCTGACCTGCGGAATAAGCACCAGGCAGGGCAGTGGGGAAGGGAACACATTTTACAGTGACTTATTCTAAAATGTTGCCATTTCCTCTACATTCTCAATACGCATGTCTGAGCATTGAGTCGCCACTCTGTTAGGAGGCTTCCTACCACTGACTCAGTGATGTCTCCAAGATTTCTGTAGGAGGGGTTTCGGGTGGAGGTTGAGGGGGCAGGTGAGCATTTCATTCTGGGAATGAGGGTCTGAAACCAAGAGAATAGCCCTCTATTTACGCTGGCATGGGAAAACCTCCCCCATCCCACCTTGATTCAACACAGCCGTCAGTCTAGAAAAAGTAACACCACCACTTTTTAGAGGTCTGACCCTGTGTGTGCACATGGAGAAGGCACTTAGGATGTTCAAGTTAGCATGTTAAACAATTTTCTTGAAATACTGTAACTAGCCACGTAGTTTGCAACAGTTTACATCCTTCACAGCCCTTTTCACAATCTGTTTTATTTGAGTCCTTTTTATGGTCTGGCACAAGCTCTAGCACGCAAACCCTAAGAGAGAAGGGTTTTATCTTATTCCCAGCGTCTAGCACATAGTAATGGTTTTTAAATGGAACGGATTCCAAGACTGGCCTTATTTAGGAATGGATCTGTTGTTCCAATCAGGTTTCTGAAACCTTTAGCATCAATACGGAATCTCTTTCACGTTTCACAGGAAGCTAGACTTCTTAAAGTGTAAACTTGGATAAGTCTGAAGTTTCCTTGACTGGCTTGATTTAAATTGAATTAAAATAATTCTTTTGCACACAAAAAAAACTTCAAATACTTTTTCAGAAAGTAACCATCTTTCCTTTCTCCACTCTTCCCTTCAAAACAAACAAACTTTGCAACTTTGGTGTGAGTTAAATAATCAGAAATCTAGCCCCAAATTAAGTTTTCAATGACATGAAACACATCCTTTTCTCCTTTTTTTTTTTTAAACATTCTATATGCAGTATATTAATATCTTCTTTTAGAAATTACTTTGGCAACTTAATCCCTAATTCAGGGCATTGATAAGTGATTTACAGAAAAGTTCTTCAGCAAAATATTTCATACAAGGTATGTATGAGATGCTGACATCTGGGTAATACACCTTATTTGAAAGGCATAATGGTTTTCAAACACTGTAGCATAATCTCACTTAAGGCCAGAGTTACTCTGTTCCCAAATCCTTGAGATTCTGTTGGAGGGGAGCTCTAAAAGGCTGTGTCCTCTCCTATGTCCACAACAGTAGGAGTATTCTGATGCAATTTGCTCTCCAAATTTGAAATAAGGGGTCAGAGCCAAGGGCCAGGACTTCAGGAAAAGCCCCAGAGATTCTCTGCACTCAAAAGCAGTTTCTGAGTTGTACATTTCCCAAAGGATGATAGAGCTAACTGTACGTGCCCAAGTCTTCCAAATCCTGCCGGCTGCTTTAAATTATGGCTACACTGGCTGTGGAATCCTCGAGCTCTAATCTCCACATACTTGAATTAAATCCTGGAGCTCCTCTTCGGTTCTGGCATCTGTAATCTCTTCACAGGGTCTATATTCCACAGCTATTTTACCACTTTCTGAAATAAAGTTAACAAGTAGCATATCAAAATTTTTCTTGTTCTAAAACTTGCTGTATATAACTGGGATAGCACTTAGTAATTAGACATTCTTTTGATTTTTTTTTTAATTTTTTTTTTTTTTTGAGAGAGAGAATGAGATAGAGAGAGCATGAGAGGGGGGAGGGTCAGAGGGAGAAGCAGACCCCCCGCTGAGCAGGGAGCCCGATATGGGACTCGATCCCGGGACTCCAGGATCATGACCTGAGCCGAAGGCAGTCACTTAACCAACTGAGCCACCCAGGCGCCCGACATTCTTTTGATTTTTAAAAACTATTTTATTTATTTATCTGACAGAGAGAGTGCACAAGCAGGGGGAACAGGAGAGGGTGAGGGAGAAGCAAGCAACCTGCTGAGTAGGGAGCCTGATGAGGGGCTCAATCCCAGGACCCTGGGATCATGACCTGAGCCGAAGGCAGACCTTAACCAACTGAGCCACTCAGCTGCCCCATAGACATTCTTTTGATTTCTAAAAGCAGAAAATAAAAGCATCTTCTCAGAAGTTTTCTCATCTCACACTTCAGTTTTTATCATAACTTTTTTTTTTAAGATTTTATTTATTTATTTGAGAGAGAGAACACGAGCAGGGGGGAGGGGCAGAGGGAGAGGGAGAAGCAGACTCCCCACTGAGCAAGGCAGTCCGACATAGGGCTTCATCCCAGGACCCTGGGATCATGACCTGAGCGGAAGGCAGACGCTTAACCGACTCAGCCACTTAGGCACCACTATCATAACTATCTGTGAAAAAATATATGTGAAGTTATCAACCATGTGGTTAAAAAAACTTTATGATCTCAGAGATAGGAACTAAGGAATAATGACATAGGAAGTTAAAACTGTGGAAGCAAAACTGTTCAATCATAGTATGATTAAACAGTAAGATATTAGGGCGCCTGGGTGGCTCAGATGGTTAAGCGTCTGCCTTCGGCTCAGGTCATGATCTCAGGGTCCTGGGATCGAGTCCCGCATCGGGCTCCCTGCTCCTTGGGAGCCTGCTTCTCCCTCTGCCTCTCTCTCTCTCTGTCTCTCATGAATGAATAAATAAAATCTTAAAAAAAAAAAAAAAACAACAGTAAGATATTAGGTAGGGGTCAATGTAAGTTCAAACCTGGAATAGAGACCACTGGACTATGGCTGATACTTCATATTAGAAACAAGGCAAGTGTCTACTCCCTGAGAACCCAAATCCCACCAGATACAATGAACAATGCTTTGGAGGGGGGTGGGCAAGGCATGCATTTGAACACTTTATTGGCAGAAACAGGCCCGTGTAACTTATAGACAACACAATTTACCTTAGGGCAAACTACAGCTACGAGACTTTTTAGTCTAAGGAATTTTGAATGTGTACAAGGGATACCATAGCATATTATGGAGAGGTCAACAACCCAAACGCTTAGTTTGCTTCTTAAAGGTTGTCATTCAGAACTGACAGCTAATGGAGAGTCTACCTGATGACCAGGGAAGTCAGTCTTCACGGGAAGACTTGCCCAGGCTGGAAACCTGAGACCAATCCACGGTCAACTCTTACAAGCAAATAAGGTCTCTGAAACGTAGCTAGGATTTCTTAGTCTTTAAGACTCAAGGCTCTGAAGCAGGGGAGCAACTGTTTGGGGACTCTCTACTAATTATAAAATTTCCAGAAAAAAAGGCACCTGGGTAGCTCAGTCGGTTGAGTGTCCCACTCTTGATTTCTGCTCAGGTCAGGATCTCAGGATTGTGAGATCAAGCCCTGCATGGGGCACCATGCTGCGTGTGGAGCCTACTTAAGATATTCTCTCTCTCTCCCTCTCTCTCCCTCTACTCCTCCCCTGTCTCCATCTTTTATTTAAAATAATAAAATAAAATAAAATAAAATAAAATAAAATAAAATAAAATGAATAAAATAAATTTCCTTTGAGACTGGATTGATTCTCTCTCTCCCTCTCCCTCTACGCCTCCCCTGTCTCCCTCTTTTATTTTATTTAAAATAAAAGAATATTTAAAAAAAATAAAATTTCCTTTGAGCACAGCCTATAACATTCATACTACTGTAGAACTCAAGAGGGAATACAATCAACATCATTCAATAAGATGGCCACTTTTAAGGTTCACAAAAATGTAGCTGATCATTACATAAGAATCATGGTCACCCAATATGTCAGTGCCAGAAACAAAAACTGAAACTGAATTGATTGCAAAAGCGTAATCTAATAAATTCTCCAACAGGAAAATAATAATGATAAGAAGTTAACATATTTTGTCTGCTTACCACGTTCCAGAGATAGTTCTAAGCTTTTTATATTCATCATCTCATTTATTCTTGCTATATCTCCATGAGGTAAGCTGAATTATTAACCTTATTTTGCAGATAAAGAAATTGCAGCTTAGAGAGACTAAATACCTTCAAATTTGACTATAAAACCTAAAACTGCATCAGAAATCTAAGAGACAGAGTTAGGATTCAACAACAGATGTCCAAAACTTACAATCACTATACTACTTTGTGTTATGGGCAATCAATCAAGGAACACTGGATCAAGCACTTTCTATGCGGAGGCAAGTCACTGTATATCTATACCCTGGGGACAATAATATTTACTGTCATTTTTCCTCACAAATACTACAAAGAACAAATTTGAGACTGCTGCTTTGAAAGCATTTGGTGAATAAAAGAATGTGAAGTGTTTTCATCCAACTAACTTCTCAAAATGAGTTTATTTGCTCATGGAAACTGAAGTTGTTTAAGGACAATCAAAAGAAAAGAAAAGAAAAGAAAGAAGTAAAGGACAATCAAGAAAGTCTTACCTAAAACCACAATCAACAGTTTCTGGAATGCATCTGACACAGCCTTCTGAATAGCAAGCTTCTGGGTTGTTTTCCTTTTCATCAGAACTGATAATGGCCCTAAATTCAACCAAAACAAATGGATTTAAAATACCTAGCTGAATGATAACTGATTTTTATGTTATGTGTTTAGATATGAAAGTGCATCCATGATTCGTAGATCATTATCTTAGCAACTAAGAGCAGGCACAAGACAAGCACTTGGTGGAATGGCTCTGCTGTAGGTATATCCTGGCCGGGTACATTTTTACTGCCCTGATCTACCCCAGAAGTTCCTGAAGTACCAGAAGGGAGATGCAAGCCAAGAAGGTGGCACAAATCTCACATCACTCACAGATTTCAAATGGACAAGTTGAAACTATAATCCTACAGACCCTACCTACTCTCCTGGGCATCAAGGGCTGGAATCACAGAGTGAGAAAGATTAGGTGGTAGCACACATGACCTGGTCTTTTCCTGAGCATCACCCATGGGAACCTACTTCCCTCCATTTGCTAACAGCCCTGCCTCTGCCTTAAAACCCTAAGCCGAAGTGCTACGGACTCTGGAAAAATCAGTACCAATTGGAATACCTTTTCTAGGAATCTATATTTGATTCTTTACACACCAGCCCTTTTATAGGAGGCAAAGGACTGAACATTTGCACAAGGGTTTATTTAAATCTTTAGATGATGATTTTGCTGGGATCATTGAAGGCTACAAGAGATCTGTATTTAAAGGACTATTTTAGCACAAGGCAAATTCTTCTTCTTCTTCTTTTTTTTTTTTTAGCACAAGGCAGATTCTTAACCAAAAATGGGAAGAACATTACTTCCCTCTTCCTAAATTTCTCGGCAGAAAGTCAGTTTTAGAATTGTAAAGCTAAGTTCTTTTAGGTATTGTGTATGATAAAAACCTGTATTGTACGGTAGAAAAGCTCTGCCCAGGGTTTTAGTAGCTTAGCAAGGGGAGGGCTTGATGATATATCTGAAAAGATGAGTTTCAGAAAGAAAGAGAGATTCTACCTCCACTCCACTCCACCCCCACCCCCACCATAAACAGACCTTCTTCCAGCTTCTCCAAAGGCTCCTCGGCCATGCCAACTCTAGGACTCCTGCACTCATAGGACGGCAACACCACCTCTAAAGCACAGAAGAATTTCAGGCTCTGCTTCTCAAGTGGTACCGTAGCATCTTCATTTTCTCTTTCTTCGAGGTCAGAAAGGTCCTGAAGCTGTTAGGATTTTACATTAAAGGTCCTTCCTAGGATCTCAACATAGACTTCAAGATGTTTTGTTATTAGAAATAAAAACTAAACTCCAGTAAACCCAGCTAACAGTTGAGGTCCTATAGCTTCAAAATCAAGTAAGACTTGCAAATGAATTATTAAATACAGACAACTAGTTTTTTTTACTCTATACCCTACAAATACTGGCAAAAATTCTGGACATCACTACCCAAGTCATTGAAAGTAGTATTAATTCTAGGTGGCAGGCCGATGCTCAGGTCCTTCCACTTAGAAGCCTCTCACATCTTCTCCCCACACCCAGTTCTCTCCTCTCTGAAGTCCAGGATTTCAATGTTGAAATGAGTCTGATTAGCCAAAGAAAATCTATAAAGTTTACCTTGATGATCCTTTTTGACCATCCATTGAAACCAAAGTAATAATTTGCCAATTCTTGGCACTGGGAGCTATTTAGGGCAAGGGCCTGATGTTGATCTGCTTTATGTTTGGTGCCCAGACGAACCTAAAGACATAAGAGAGAGACTGAAAAATATCACAACCTGCCACAGAGGCTTATTTTGGATACACCTGAGATTGATCAATACCTATTTCAGAGATTGGCTGTGAAGATTAGAAAGGAAACACCATTGTAAGCAATGAGCTCATAGTAAGCCCTGAATAAATGGTATTCATTATTTTTAAGCTCCAGTACTTTTCTGCATCATTTCCAGGGCTCCTGATTGAATTGGAAGATTTCCCTGACCTCTGGTGGTGAGAGTGATGATGAAAGCCACTAAGGAAGCCCTCCAGAAGCAAATTATGTAGGTGAGCAAAGGAAAGAAATTGTTTTTGTTGTCCCATCCTGTAGCTCGTTTGAGAACATGACCTGAAGAGCCGACAAGATGGACCTGACAGGGAGGTAGGACCTTAACCTGCAGCACCCTCCTCCCCAAGTTACTAACCTGTTAGAACAAGGAATATACACACCTCTAAAAATTTTATAAGCAACTAAACAACTAGAGGTTCATTTGCATTAATAAGCTCCTTTGAGAATGCAAATACTTCCAGTCTAACGCTCTATGGTGAATTTATTAAATGTTCTGTCTTAAATGTCTATTTCAACTTTAAGCAGGGTGTAGTATAGTAATATATTCATAAAGATTCAAATAATGCAAATGAAGTCACAGCACTATTAATTCTTTATTGATTTGTTCATGCACCTTCCTCTATCACTAGTTTATAAGCTCCTTAAGTGCTTGAAGGAACCATCTCTTACTCTTTTCTCATTCCTAAAACCGAGCACATTCTGTTGTTGATTGAGTGAACGAATGAAAGAATGGGTGATAAGAAAATAAAATTACTTTCTCCAGCTGAAGCTGCATGCTGGAAAGAAGAAATGAAGATGAAGTTTTAAATGTTGAGTGCTGCAGGGGAGGCTAATGGCGAGCCATAGTGGAGCTGTTCTGGATATGAAGGAAGCTTCAGAAGGGCCCCGAGCCTCTCTGTCGGAGAAATAGTTGTCACCTTGGGAAAGCTTGCCAGTTCCTGCTGCCAACCATTTTCCTTCATGCTACTGAAAAAAACTCTCTCAAATACCTTAGGCCTTTCCTTGATTTATTTTATTTAAGACATTATTCTTTTTCCTGTATTTATAAAAGGCAAACAACAACAACAACAAACCCAACCAGGAACTATATGTAGTTGCCAAAGTAGAAAAGAACACATAAGTAAATTGGATAACAATTTTGGAAAGCAGGGGTAATAACCCAAGGTTCTGTGTTAAATAAAAAAAGAGATCTAATATGAATACGCTCTCCTGTCAACTATATACTGACTTGTAGAACATTTCCTTCATCACTCTCAGTGATGGGCTTTATGCTGTGAAATCTCAAAACCTAAATTTATGAAATGATCTTAATGTCCAATGAGAGACAAAAACCTCATTTCTTACAACTGATACAAAGTAATTGTTTCATAATCTATAATATCTGAGTGGCTATGTGAACTTTTCACAGGCTAGAAACAGGCAGATCACAGTTTGCAAACTAAAGAACGTCTGACAGGTCATCATTTCAATCAGAAGGAGTGAAGCCAAGACTGAAGAGGGTGTTGAACAAGTAGGCAGTATACCTAGAGTCACATCTGAGCAGAGTTCTCAGATTCAATCAAGGTTAAATCAATAAGGAAAGGCAAATGATAAGAATAGGCAGCCACGTGGGGCGTCTGGGTGGCTCAGTTGGTTAAGCATCTGCCTTCGGCTCGGGTCATGATCCCAGGGTCCTGGGATGGAGCCCCACGTCCGGCTCTCTGCTCGGCGGGGAGTCTCCTTCTCCCTCTCCCTTTGCCTGCCACTCCGCCTACTTGTACACACTCTCTCTCTCTCTGTCAAATAAATAAAATCTTAAAAAAAAAAAAAAAAAAAAGAATAGGCAGCCACATCAGTATGAAGTAGCCAGATTAAGAAGCCAGTTAGAGAAGGCTGACAAAGACATACAATTACAAAGTGAAAGGTTTGGAAATCTAAGTCTCACTCACTTATTCAGAGGAAATGACATGGTCCTTGATAAAGAAATGGTGATTGAATTGAGGCACATACTGAAATATAATTCTGGGGCTCTGGGAAAGTAAAATGGACAGCAAGCATGGTTAGTATGGAATAAAGTTCCTGTAGTGCATTAAAGAATGTTTTAACTATTTTCTGGGAATTGAAGGGAGTCCTGAATAGGCAGTTTGAGACTGATGATGATGATAATGACGATGAAGCATCCTTTATAAATACAACAGATGAAAGGATTTGTCATTTTTTTTTAAGATTTTATTTATTTGAGAGAGAGAGTGAGAGAGAGAGCACAAGAGCGAAGAGGAAGAGGAAGAAGCAGACTCCCCGCTGAGCAGGGAGCCGGACCGGGATCATGACCGGAGCTGAAGGCAGATACTCAACCGACTGAGCCACCCAGGCACCCCTAGATTTGTCATTTTAAATCCACATAATAGTAAATACAAGCAAGACTCTTCCTGTTAAGATTTCTTAAATTAAAGGGCAGGATAAAATGCCACGGGGTTTAATATCAGTAAGTTGGGGTTTGATCTCTAGCTTCCAGTTATTATCATGAACCGTAAGTAAGTCACTTAACTGTCTTCAGTTCGAGTTTCTTCGTCTAAAAAAAAGCAAACAAACAAAAACCCAGGGAAACCGGAGGGTCGATGTAGCAATGCATCTGAAAGCATTCTGTAAATCAGAGTGCTGCACAAATGCTAGTCTATTATAACGGAATTCAGCACTCCGTCCCAGGGGAGTTAGGAATTTCCTGTTTGGACCCACCTGCACTGGAGACTTCTGAAAAAGATGCTTCTCGTGGCATGCCATTTGAGCTCTGTGAGCATCCCTTGCAGAATAAAACTTGATGATGCCATAGAAACCAGGACGGGCCACTGCAGCGTTTGGGAAGACTCGGAGCGAATACAGAAGGTCCAACTGGGAGAATACTGTGAACAGAGAATGCTGTGGGGTGGTCCCACGCCAAGTAAGTGCATGAAATTTCACGCCCAGAAACCAAAACTGCCCGTTCCCTTATATTCCCTAAACCCTTCTGCACATACAACCCCAAGCTCTTCTCATTTCATGAACAGGTCTCCCTCTGAAATCTTAGGATTCGAGAAGCATTAGAAGGCAACACGTGCTGGCTGTTGAGAGTTACCTCTCAGAACTCTGTGGGGGCTGACAGACTGCTGAGGTCCCCTCCAGAACTAAGATTCCTCACGGCGGAGACTACGAGGCGCGTGAGGCTAAGGCCAGACTCCAGGGCTCCCAGTCACGGGGGCGGGGGGGCACACGGCGTTCTCCATCCCTCCCTCCCTCCTGACTGGGCTCACATGCAAAGCCTCGGCCGTGGGCCCAGAACTCAGCTCCCACACCAGCAAGGTTTTGTCGCTTTCGCTGGGAACTGCAAACGAGACCACCTCCGCCATCCTACCACCACTGCGCATGCGCGGCTAAGGTTCAAGCGGCAGTGCGCCTGCGCAAGGCGGGCCCGCGCTTTTTTAAAAAGGTCTCGTGCGAGGGGCGGGGCCAGCCCCGCGGGGGTGGGGCGAGGGCTGTTCCCAGTCCTCTCCCTGGCCCCTCCCACTCGGGGCGGGTCTCTGACTACTTCCCCTCCAGCAGCCCCACCACATCAAAGTCGTGTTTAGTGCTGCTTTTTTTTTTTTTTTTTTTTTAAAAACATCTCCTGAGGTTTCCAAACAATGGTCTTCAGACTGGTGCTGGTCTGTTAGGAAGTTTTCACCAGTCCTTGGAAAAACAAGAAAAGGATAATATAATCAGGGTTTAAAATTTTTTTTCATAAAACAAAATCTATTCCATTTTACTATGCTACAAATATGACCTTCATTTTTCTTTCTTTTTTAATTTCTTTTTTATTTTTTTACTTTTAAAATATTTTATTTGAGAAAGCAAGAGAGAGAGAGAGCGCGCGCACAAGCTGGGGGGAGGGGTAGAAGGAGAAGCAGACTCCCCGCTGAGCAGGGAGCCTGATGGGGAACTCCATCCCAGGAGCCCCCAAGATCATGACCTGAGCCCAAGGCAGACACTTAACCAACTGAGCCACCCAGGCACTCCATGACGTTCATTTTTCATGTTAAAAATTGTTTTACAATAGTTGTTTTGATTAATACTCTTACTTGGGTATTAAAATAAAAAGTTAGGAATTTTAACATGGGTTAACTTTTTTGACGTTTTAGTGGTCTGTGAAATCCAAAAGTCAAGGCTCAGAAGTAGGGACATCAGTGGCCCAAGTGGGACAGTTTAGTCAAACGGTACTGATGGTAGCTATGTGCAAGACATTTCTCCAACGGCCCCTTTTCTGTTTTGCATTGTCCTTCTGCAGGTTTTTCTCCACATCAGCACCTTCAGATCCCAAACAGCGATGCCTTTTTTTTTTTAACATCTAGATTTTAGCCCATTCTCTGAAACCACCCAAATCATTGGCACCTGGCACCATCTATCAGCCCCAACAGCACTTTCTCCACCTCAATATACAAGACCCTTAGCTCCACCCATTACCTACTTCTGAACTTTCTCTTTTACTCTGAAAGTAGTTGGCTTGGAGGAATAACTGGGATCCTGATGCTGTTTCAAACCAAAAATTGTAGATTTTATTACCCATTTCATTATCCGTTGTATTCATTGTATGTATCCACTCATTGTACCCATTAATTGTGTATGTCTCTGGGTAGATTATGAACACCTCAGGAACAATAGTTATGGTTTATTTTCCTTCTTCTAGTACCTACCACACTCCTACTAGATTAGGTACTCCAATATATGTGGAATTAAAAATGAATAAATCAACACATTCTTTGCACAAGGAATGCTTTAATAATTCCCCAAATATAACAACTTCTTCATTGTGGTCCTCTTGGTTTGCAATGACAGTCAGGAACCAGAAGGTCTGGGCCTAGATGGGTGCAAGGAGGAAGCCCGAGAAAACCATTTATTCCTGGGGCTCTGGTCAGTTTTATTTGTAAATGGGAAGGAAAGAAAATAACATGAAGTGGAGGCAAGAGGAAGAGGAGATGAAGAATTCCCGAGTGAGAAGAGGAGCTCTGAAATGACTCCACAGCAGCCCTTCCCCCGTCTCATCCCAAGAAACATCCTGTCATCCAGTAGGAGAGGGGCCGGCCTGCACAGTGCAACCTCCACGCTACCCTGAGGAGAGAAAGATTGGTTCTTGCTTTACCGCTTAGTAAGCTCCTTCTCCACATACATGGCCCAACTCTTAGTGAGTCTCTTAGGCAGAGCAGTGCTCAGAACCTCCTTCATTCCTAGCTTTCTGGTCTGTCCCCCTGTGGCCCCTCTGATTCTTCCTTTAAATTTCCTTATCTCTGGTGTTTGTCCGCTTCCCCCATTCAGTATGCTTCCACATTTTCAAATCCTATCTCCCTCTGAAGTGGGAGAGCACCATTTTACGAGGCTGAGAGTTCCTAAATAAATAAAAAGATAAATAAATAATCAATCAATCAATCTCAGGCACAACCATTGACTCTCCCTCCAGAAAGGGTCAGCCCTAATAGTCATCAGTGTCCCTTCTGCTTGGTATTTCTAGAGTAGGCAAGGCACTTGACTCCTCCATCCCCACAGACGCCTAGAGAGACAGCCTAGAGAGGACTAGAAAGGGTCTAGTCCTTGCCTAGTGTGCCTTTCTCTGTCACTACATCCTTCCTGGGGCTCTGCCCGCTAACGTAGTCCCACAGTGTCCTCCTCACCAGTTCTTCATCCCCCCTGCTCTGGACACAATCTTTTTTGCACAGCTGATGGTTGAGAGAAGATTGGGGCTCAGTAGGTCTGAAAGGGAGAGAGAGAGAGTACCTGTAAGAACACAGAGGACAGTCCCAAAGACTGAGGCAGACATGGCTGTCCCTGCGCTGGCATGCGCCACCTGGGGGCTGAGTACTTCCAGATTAAGCAAGGCCTCCCTTCCAGAGGCCCATTTAGACATCCCTACAATGGCGGTCGGGGGTGTTGGGGGTTGGGGCAGGAGGGGCAGGACAACTGTTTATCACCATACTTCCTAACTAGGGTAGATGGTGGTTCAGCCCACGTTTGAGGATTTCTAGGGAAAGGAAATGTCAAAACAGGCAGCACAGAGACCAAGGTAAATCTTGCCTGATGAGGGAGGCTCTTCAGGTGAAGAGTCCAGGGATATTAATCAGAGTATGAAGGAGGGGGAGAAGGTCCAAGTCATGGACCTATGGAGCCTCCTGGAGTGGCTTTGAGGTGGGGAATTTGCACTTGGCCTTTAATCAGATCATTAGCCAAAGTTAGTACTTGATGGTTAGAGCTGAGCCTTCAGGGCCACCAGCCTGGCATTCAGCACCGGCTCTATGAGCCTCAGTTTGCTCATCTGTAACATGGGCACCAAAATAATTTCCATTGCATGAAAAGCTGGGTGAAATGGACTCCTTGGGCTGTCTCTCTGGGGATATTGCCAGGCTTTGAGTGGGAAGAGAAGTCCTGTGAGTAGAGCCTGGTCCTCTCTCTCACCTCTCCCACCCTGGGGCCCTGGCCAGACCTTGACAGTCCTCGTGGCAGATGTCCTCTGAGTGACTTCGGTAATCATTGCACCAGTAGTGGCTGTTGATCTGGAAGATTCCATAGTCAAAGCTGCCGTCTGCATTTTCATTTACCTTTGATATGTTGAATTTGCTTTCCACAAAAGCCAGACACAGCCCTTTGAACAGGGAGAAGAGGGTTTTCAGAGGGTGCCGAGCTGAGGGAGGAGGGGGATGGAGGAGAGAGGGAGATCAGGAAGGAGAAGAAAGGAACAAGGCCTAAGAGGCTGGATGGGGCAAGTGGGCTAGAAACACCCATGTGCTTGTCCCCTCACCCTTTGTCCAACCCACCCGCCCCTCAGTACAACCACTCATCACCTATCTGTCCATCCATGCTTCCTGCACCTAATGATCACCTACTGTGTGCCAGGAACTGTGCAAAGCCCAGTGCCAGACATTTAGCTGGGTCAAATGTCGATGCTGCGTTCAAGGGGCCTATAGTAGGAGGATGAAGATACATACCTTAAAAAGCCACAGGACAAGATAAGGGGAGAAGGATAGCACAAGAGCGGTGTGCACAAATTCTGGGCGAAAGGGAATTATCCTTACCACGGAGTAGGATGAAGACTTTGCACTGCCTGCTCCCTCTGCCTGGAATGCTCTTCCCCAGACATTTGGGTGACCAGTGCTGCTCAATGTCACCTCTTCGACTTCCCCTTCTAGGACAACATTGCCTATCACTGCCCTGGCTTTATTCTTCTGCATAACCTTTATCATATATAGTTGTGTGTGTGCTTCTTGCTTGCCTCTTCCCCTAGAATGTGAACACTGTGGAGGAAGGGGCTTTGTTGATGTCTCTATCCCCAGCATTGAAAATAGTTCCCGGTACATAATAAGTGCTCAGTTAATAATTGTGGACCAAGGGGCGCCTGGGTGGCTCAGTCGTTAAGCGTCTGCCTTCGGCTCAGGTCATGATCCCAGGGTCCTGGGACCGAACCCCGCATCGGGCTCCCTGCTCCGCGGGAAGCCTGCTTCTCCCTCTCCCATTCCCCCTGCTTGTATTCCCTCTCTCGCTGTGTCTCTGTCAAATAAATAAATAAAATCTTAAAAAAAAAAATTGTGGACCGAATATGGAATGTTGGGAAGGGCTTCTTGGGGAGGGCTGCTTTTTGAACTTGGCTTTGAAAGATGAATGACAGAGAGAAAGACGGCCACCTAGGGCATGACCAGAGGAGGAGGAGAAATGGGGGAGGGGGGAGTGTGAGAAGCAGCACTCACAGTCAGTGAGGGAGTAGCCCTCAAACCCATCCAAGTCCTCCTTGTACAGCACCCTGGCCAAGTCACAGCGATTGATGAGGCTGGCCTGACTTATGGCAATGAGGCAGCTGACCAAGGACATGAGTAGCGTCCCCATCATCTTTGGAGGGGAGAAGGTGCTGTCGAGGGTCCGTGGTTCTGAGGCTCTCCCAGATGTGCCGCTGGTCTTCTCTGAGTGCCTGAGGAATCTGGAGAGAGCAGCCATATGTCCTCGCTCACACAGAGCTCCCCACCTGGCTATTTCTCTTTCCTCTCATTTATTATTGTATACTTGTTTATTACAGAAACCTTTAAATATTTACAAAATAAGAGAGAATAGTATCATGAATCTTCATGTACCCATTGCCCAGTGTCAACATCGAAAAACCAAGGCTGATCCCCTTCCATCTATAGATCTTCACCCCTTTTAGCTATTCTCACTCTTGTAATGGGCACCTAGCTGTGGGCAGTATTTGGGTACAGTGTGGGGGGAGAGGATGGCAAAGGAGATTAATGAGAACTGCACTTCACTGGTGTTTGTGTGTGTGGATTTGAGCATGTGCTTGCAGGGGAAGGGCTAGGACACTGCACGGTGAACTCCCCCCAACCCCACACCCCCAGATACACGACACATGACTTTTCCCAAGGGCATACCCTTCCTTGTGCAAGTCCTAGGAAGCTGTTTATGGGTTCTACACTTTGATTTCCACTCAAAGGTGCATAT